CCCCAAAACCCCAAAACCCCAAAACCCCAAAACCCCTTAACAAAATTCCTAGTTGGGATAATAAATAATAAACAGTGAAAATGATGATGCAGCAAAGGAAGTACTCAAGGAAGAGGAAGAGAAAGACTACTGTTGTTAAGCCTATTGTCATTGGCAATATATCCTTTTATAGACAGAAGAAGGTAGAGGGCAAAGAGGACTATGCATGGTGATGTTATGTCAGGAATGCGGAGAAGGGTATGGTAAATATTTGATTTTTTAGATAAAGATGGGAAGATTCAGCCTCTTCATCAATTCGTGAGGAAGGTAGTCTTTACACTACACGAAAGTTTTGACAATAACGTCATTGAGATCGAAAAACCACCCTTTAGCATCGTCAGAAATGGCTGGGGAGAATTTGATGTCAACATAACAATTCATTTTCAGGATAATAGTGAAGAACCTGTAACTAAGATCCATGGTATCAGGATCTTCCATCTGCACCAGAACCAGAAGGCGACAATTAAGAAGCCTGTGGTCAATGAGAATTACGATGAAATAGTGTTTAACGAGCCAACTGAATTCTTCTATCATATGCTGACTGATGACCCTGAAGAAACTTTTAAATCTCAGTTTATTAATCCTTTCCCTGGCCAGATTGACAAGGCTGAGGAATCTAAGGAAGCAGAGGCTAAACCCAAAGAGATTGATCCCACCACAGACAAAGATATGGATGCAGATAAACCAGCAGAAGATGTAGAAATGAAACCTGAGGACTCTACTGAGAAGAAAGATGATGGAGAAGAAAATATTGGAGAAGAAGAAAACAAAGAAACAGGAGATTTCATTGTTGAAAACTCTACCTACGAAGTCAAGGTCGGGGCGAATGATGAGCATATTATCGATGTGACCCAATTCTTTGAAGATCACAATGACAAAGCTGATATCAAATTCCTCACTGATTGACTCAAATCTCTAAGAGAAGAAACAATGTATCTAAGAAAAGAAACTGAAGAATGTGAAAAGACAATATCAGATAAAAAGGAGAAGTTAAGACAGTATGATCAATAAAACACAACTATAATTTCCAGAAGAAATCAAAGATGTCAAATTCAATATTCTATAAAAATAGCGGGGTTTTGGGGTTTTGGGGTTTTGGGGTTTTGGGGTTTTGGGGTTTTGGGGTTTTGGGG